AGTAGGGTGGAGGTGGGGTGTGAAATGATAGAAGTTTGTTAATTTAATTGGCCTTGTTTTGGGGGGTTGTCTATGTGTGTTTTGGGGGTGGGGATGCAACAGGGGTAGTATTTCTTGCAGAGGAAAGTTAATTAGAAGAATATGGTCCAAATGTTAATTAGCCTCATGTCTTGAGCATATGGTAGTATTTCTGAGCACTCCATATTCCAAGTCAGCATTCCTTGTCCCCTGCATGTGTAGCAAGGTGCTGGGAACGTATACCCTGGGGACAGAGAGGAAATAAATGGTCTATATTTCCCCAAGTTCTGCATGGCCCCACACCAAGCAAACAAAACCTTTCAGAAAAGGCTGGCAGATGCGACCGAAGAGAACCCTCACTAAAAAGAGTGGAAGGCTTTTCTAGGAGGATGGTCTGCCCTTTTTCCCATGCCCCATCTCCTGGAAGGATTCTGAAGTCCAGACAGCTATTCAGAAAAAGAAGCAAACTTGGAGGTTTCTAGTCCATCACCCTCTCACCGATCACGGAGAAGCTCTCTTCAAGTTCCCTGGCATCTCCAGTCTGTGACGGAATGTGACACCCAGCACCCCATCTGTGAAGCTATTTGACCAGGCTCGTAGGAAAATCAGACGGCAGGGCCAGGGCCCATGGAAAACTTGTTGGGACATTCTGCTTCCTCTGGCAGAGACCAGCAATGGAAATGTGTAACTTGTGTTGATGGAAGCATAAGTAACGACTGGAAGACAGATTTGCCTCTTACCCTGCCAGAAACTCCCTCTGCCATTATTATGATTGTATTACCTTGGCCTCAGTTTTCCTCTAAGTAAAATGGGAATAGTCAGTTCCCACACAGAATTGTCGATTCCCTCAGAACAGGAAAAGCTGCCAGCAGCTAAGTAATGCACAGACCCTGTCAGCCACTCAAGAAAGAATATAACCAAAGTTTCTAAAGGAATTTTTTGCTATTGTGGAATTTAGACTGGAGTGAATATGCATCAACCCACTGCTCTGCTACCTGATCATCTGGACAGGTGGGATTTCCCCAAGATCGTCTCACACCTGCATCCCATGAAGCAGAGCCCTTCCCTGGGCGAAGGATCAAGGGCTCAATGAAGCACCATTTGGAAAATGACTTTGATTTTTTTTTTTTTTGGCTTTTTAAAAAAATATTTCATGTAATTTTTTTCAAGTAATTTTATTGGTACATTTTAGGTATACAGTATAATGACATTCATCATTGGGTATTTGCACCTTTACATAATCTCTCTTGATTTTATTTTGCCCCCTTCCCCTGCCCTCCCTTCAACCCCTCCACCCCTCCCTATTTACAAAGACTTGGCTTCCATGTTTTCATTTTCTCATATTAATTCCATTCCCTTCTTTGTCAGAGACACCAAACAAAAACCAACGATTGCTCAGGCACAACACATACAAAGAAATGATTTGCCTGTCTTTATGGTCTCTATTAATCCTTAGAGAAAAAATTAGACAGACCATTCTACAATGCTTCATACACATTCTAGCTCATAATTTCCAAGTCTGAATGGTCAAAATTACACCAGTTTCAATGACACTAGTGAAAACATCAAATAAAATGCACATATACATTTTATTATGTCATGTGTCCTCCACCGAAGAGCTCTACAATAAATAGACCGTAAATGACTCAAAAAACCTTTATAGTCACTTCAATTTAACTTAATAGGTAGAGAAAGGCCTATGATGGTGTGGACAGGCAGAAAACCGGCAAGATACAAAATTATATACACTATTATTTCAGTTACATCTTTGTCTTCTCATGGAACTATATTTTTTACTTTGACACAGGGTCTTGCTAAGTTGCTAAATTGTCCAGACTGGGCTCAAACTTATGATCCTTCTGCCTCAGCTGCCCAGAGTGCTAGAATTATAGGCATGTACCACCACACTGGGCCTTATTATGTTTTAAATCTTAAAGCTCAAAAAGGGCCAGAAAGACATATGCAAGAATATTAATAATATTTCTTTGGGAGAATTTTTTATACTCTAAAGGCACTTTTAAAATTTTTTCCATTTTTTCCAGTAAGTATGCTGTGCTTTCATTATTAGGAGATGTCACTGGGTTTAGCAAAGACAGTATGCATTAACCTGAAGCTAAAAGTTTAGAAAACTAGTCTGCACTACGTTATTTTAAAATATGATGAAAACCATCTGCCCCTGTTTTGCCACGAAGCCTGTGTCCTCTTCACCCAATCATGTGCTATAATGGAGAGCCTACTCCAGTAGCCAAGAATCTTAGATTCCAGTCCCAATTCCCTTCCTATTCATCCTACAGCTGACAGCGGGTCACAACCTCTTTGGGCCTCAGTTGAACCATCTGCATCCAGGCTGACCAGACAGAGGAGGAACAGTTAAAACAGTAGGTGGAGAGGAAGAAGAGAAATGACAATCACAACATCAGCTCCATTGTTAGGATTATGTAGTCCGATATGTTAATCCGAACTTCTCCATAATAAGTAGTAACTAAAGATGAGCCACCTCTTTCCTTTAGTTAGCAGGTAAACAAGGTCATTCAATGTAAGCTTTTTGCCTCAAATTTTTCTTTATTTTTAATAAAGTCAGCCAACCAAAGCTGGTGTAAACGTCTCTTGTCTAACCAGAGGTATCCTTAAGAAATGATCCAGAGGGGCCTAGGATTTAGCTCAGTGGTGCCGCTGCCTGCCCCACAAGCGCAAGGTCCCAAGTTTGATCCCCGGTGCCAAGAAAAGAAAGGAAAGAAAGAAAGAAAGAAAGAAAGAAAGAAAGAATGAATCCAGAGAAATCTGAGTCTCCAATTTTCCTACCCCATTATTTCATAAATGTTTGGCAAGATACAGATTCATTCCTTCTCTTGTTCTCTAATTTTGCCTGAGGAAATAAGGAGAAATTTCATATTACTTATCTCTTTTTCTAACTCATTAAGAATGATACAAGAACTAAACCAACATGGAGCCTAGTGGTGGTTTGAAGCCAAAATATATGGCAGAAACACAACATATCCTGGATATTTACAAAGTGATGAGTAAGGAATTAATAGAATATATAAGAAATACAGCAAAAAAATGTTGTGGTATTTCCCATTGCTTGATGTTGAGATGACTCCCACCCTACCACCAACCCAAACGCATCACCAATCTTCTTCAAGTCCAAGGTTAACCGTTGGAAGTTCAAGCTGTAGCAATTCCAGTTCTGAAATGTTTACATAATACAGTGTGATACAATTATCATTCCATACCAAATAATGTAATGTGAGAAACTAGCAGTTTCACTATAGAATACAGATTTATGTTCTTTTCATTATGACTGAACGAAATAAGATGCTAAGAAATGTGGACAGAATCCTACATTTCATCTTATAGGATTGGAGTTTACTTCAGTGAAAATTTTCGACCAAATCATGTTCATAAAAATGCTTTTCTATGGCCCCAAACCACTAAGTTTTAAAAAAATCACAGATAGCTACTTTAGATGTTCTGTCTAAACTGTGGGAGAAGCTTATATGCAGTGAATTTGGGCTTTTTAAAATGACACTATTAGTACAAGTTTGTGATCGCCATGCAAAATCATACTTATAAATGCCACTACTTAGAAATCGAATGCATTAAAGTCCTGTGGGAAGCATTGTCAATTGTTTTCATGTTGTTCTTTTTCAGCTGAGGTTTAAAGCCTCCTCCTATTTTTTTTTTAATCCCAGGATGTGCTATAGGAATCTAGGAAACTTAATTACATTTACTATTATAAAAAAGGGATTTATGAACTTTTGCCTGTAGGCAGAAATGTTTATTTCATTGCCTTTGCTATCCATTCTTTTCAACTCCAATGGCTTTGAACTCTTCCCCTAGTCAGAGTTATCACAGTTGCGCAGAGCTGAAGAGCCCCACTCCTAAAAATCACACCCAAGTTGAAGAAAACCAAGAAGGCAAAGATATATAAGTCGTTATTTTGACCACCCTTTGTGCCATTAAAATCTCATTTTCTGCCTATTAGAATGCCCTCTCGGTGCTTAGGCAGCGGTGATAGTCAGTGATTAGTGTGTAATTGAGTATAATTGTCTTTTCACTTTTCATTTGTGTCATTCTGAGCTTCTCTCTGTTTTTCTAACCACCAGGAGGAAGAAGGAGGTCGAGAAAAGATAAAGCTGTTAAAATGCTCACTCTCAGCCCTGAAGAAATTCTCGATTGCAATTATAGATTGCAACCCCTTTGCGACATTTCTCCAAATTTAGTGGGCAGCTATTCTCACCACCTGGGCCAACTGCTCTCTAATAAAATCAAGCGATCTGTATTTAAGCAACTGCTAATAATGTCAACCTCAGACAGATGCCACATGTAAGAAATTTAACCATCTCTTTGACATGCAATTATCAAGGCAATTCATTAATCCGATCTCCCAAGAAAAGCTCATAGTCCAATGCAAATTAGAAAAACAATTACAACATTCAAATATTTATATATTCCCAAAGAGCAGTAATTCTCCCAATTTGTGCATTTATAACTCGTTTATTTCAGAGTGCTGTAGTGATCAGCTGCGTCTCTCTCCACATCATTTGTCTTCTCCTTCTTGGATTGTTTTGTCAAAGCTTTGATATTTTTTTACCAGGTACTTTTGCTCAAAACCCTGTCAACTCAACAAATACCATTTGAAACAAGAAACAAAACTAAAGCCACCAAGTTTGTGGGTTCTTAACCAAAATTTAGAGCTGGGGGTAGAGAAGACACATGACAAATGCCTCAATGAGTAAGTATAAACACAGAGTCTCACTGATTACCTGAAAAGTTATTTGAGTTTGATGTCTAAGCTACAACTTTTGCTACAGCCGGTAGGAAGGGTAGAGAGAAAGGAAACTAGAAAACTAAAGTCATGTGGCTTGTATAAAGAATACATTATGGTTTAAATTTGGCAATTCATTATACTACTGCCTCGGGGAATTGACTATTTGGTTCTGGTATACAGCAAATCATCTGTCTAGAAACACGGGACTGACCTGAGGTGAAAGGCCATTGCCAATGGCGGGGTTCATGGGGTTGGAGGGCCCCGACGGAGGCACAAAGCTGTCTGTATAGCTGGAAAATCCATGCCTGGTGCTGGGGAGGCAGTAGGCAGAGCTGCTGTCTGGGTTTGAAGGAATAGTGCTTTGGTGTACGGTGCTTGGAGGAAGTGGCTGAGGTCTGTGAACGGTGCTGCTGGGATCCGACACAGCTGAAATGAAGAAGATTGTCAACCAGAAACCGCCTTTGTAGCCCAGCAAAGCAAGTTCAATGCAAAAGTTCCCAAGTCACCAAGCCATCAGCAGTGTGTATCGGTGAGAACCAATGATGATTCATTGAACAAACACAGCCACACCCAGTGCACATTTGCAAGTACATAACTCAACCGGAATAGGAATACAGAAATCACAATCACAGTGCTAACAAGCCTCTTTTAGTAATGAGCGATATTAATCAATGTGACAATTAACCAACATATCTGCAGGTCTCAAATTTCTTATCAAATGCACTTTTACAATGCCTACATATTAAGGCAATAGCAGTTCCAAATACCTGAAATGCTATCTTTCCTGATCCAAAGTAACCGAGTCTTACAATTTAACGACATCCCACTCACCTCTCGGTGCTAAGAAACAGCCACTTCATCAAAGCTTTCCTTCTCCGTATTACTACTGCGGTTAGTAACCATCACAGAACTTTGGTTAATTACAAACTGGTGTACAAATGTAGCAGTAAATTTTTAACAAAAGAAAAGCAAACCTCATGTTTATTTAGGAAGATTGTTTTGTTTTAAAATACCAAAATGGTTTCATATTACTCCGTTTATCTAGAGAAATTCAGATATGTCATGGAAGAAACCATGTTTCTGAAATATGACAGGAATGCTTAGAACAACCTGATGTCATGTAACTGACAAACAAACGGCATCGATGTCAACATTGTAGAAAAAATTCACTGTATAAAATATCCGCCAGAGAAAGCAATTGGAAGTTACAGTTTAATCTCCTTGACTCTGCTTCTTTATACCTTGTGGAATAGACGTGGGCTGGTAAGAGGTCTCCGACAGCTGGTATGTTGGCAGGGTCGGCATGGCAGTGGGAGGGAATCCCCCCGGAAGGAGATGGTTGAAAGCCATGAGTTGATTGGCCCCAGCTTGTTTCCTCCATCGTGCGCGGCGGTTGCTAAACCAGACCTATGGATTTAATTTAAAATTTGAGGATTTCACTGATGAAATAATAGTAGATTCTTAATGAATTTTTCATGCTAAAATAGATTAAAGGCCCCTTACTGACAGGCCAAGTAGATGCAAGAGCCCACCGCCTTCGGTGTTGTTGGGGAGCAATGTGAGGTTGAAAGGAGAGCTGAATGGCAGGGGTCAGTAGAGGGCCATCGAGGACCCTTCGTGGTCCTGTAGCAGCCTCCATGAACCTCATGATGACCTTGGGCAGAGATCACTGAGCAGGAATGGGAACAATGAGAACACCCCACTAATACCACCAACACCCCCACATCTGATCCAACTACAGCCTTCTAAGAAGGATCCATGAGCCTCTTTGATTCCCACTTGCCACACGCCCTAAATTTGGCCTTGCAGCACTGTGCTTTATATTTTTATCATCCTGTCTCTGTATTTCTATAGTCTTTATGAGCATAGCTTCTAGAAGGTCAAAGGGACAGAGGGTTAAATAAATGGAGCCATGTTACCATGTTTTTCACCATGTGAGACACTGTACTGATCTCAATGGAAATAAATACCAGAGAAGGGTTTGAAAAAAGTGAAAGCATTTTGAATCTAAAGTACAGACGATGATTAGCTCACAAAAAGAAAGGATTCCTACCAATTAAAGATGTTATAGATGTTCTAATTGTTATATCAAGAGTTACTGAAACTTGACTTTGAAGTGTGCTTAGGGAGGGAAGGGACAGAAAAGGAGTAAGGTGGAACACGGCACTCAGAAGATTCCATACTTGACCTCATGGAGCTCACAAAGAATTCAAGAAGATCAAAACAGTTACTTAGAGGAAGAAGCTCCATTTTTGGAGGTGCAGGGAATCAGGAAAACTTTAGAGTAGAGGCAAAGTTTCAGATCATTTTAAAGTTTGGACATGATTTCAATGAAAGATCACTTCAGACAGAGGTCACGGTACAGAGTAGAAAGACTGGACCACCCTAAAGAAAAATGAGCCTTGACCTCCTCACAGGACATTGCTACCACTTACACAACACAATTGTAATTTTTATGTCATACAATTTTAAAAAGTGAAAGTTTTGTTATTTTTGAAGTAGGAAACCCAAGTTAGCAAATATTTTACCCAGGCACCTGCTCAAACTTCTAACACTCTCCTAAGCATCTGTCTGAACAGTGTTCTGTCCTCTCCAGCTACTGTTTCAAGGTATTCATAAGGAAAGTGGGTTGAACGTCCTCAAAATATTAACATCTAATAGTCCTTATGTCTCCAACAGGAGGAGAAGATAAGTCAATATTTTCCCATGTCGATACATAATTCAATTAGAGTTTTGCTTAATAAATTGCCTCCTGGGGTAACAGAATCACCCCACAGTGCTCAACGTCAGGTCTGCATCAATTCTGTTTTCTTGCTGCAAGTCTGAGTGTCTGTTACAGTTTTTAGATGCATTATAGGAAAGAAAGCCATTTCTTACTAAGGAAAAGCTTGTAACAAACTGTGTTAGCCTAAGGAGCCTGAGGCTGGGAAATCACGTTCCTGCTGTACCACCCACTGAGCTCATAACGTTATGCTACCAAAGCTCCAGACTGAAGAGGCACTTTCAGCTCACATGAAGTGGTCCCGCATACTTTTCTAGATCAACTACACCCAGTGCATCTCCTGCTTCAAGTGCTAGACTAGGAGGAGAATGGAACTCAGAAAAGTCAGATATAACTTCACTCATGCATATTTACTGTCCTCAATTGCAGTGGTGAGACCCACTGGGAAGAATTCAGAAACCTACACTTCCGTTGTACCAGAGCATGCAGCCCTGCTGCCTGGGCCAACTTCCCATCTGGGGGCCGGGGATTTAGCTCAGTGGTGCCGCCACCTGCCTCACAAGTGCAACGACCCGAGTTCAATCCCCGGTACCAAAAAACAAACAAACAAACAAAAACAGCAATACCTAGGTCTGATCTACCCAGGGGGTGGCTCTGCCCAGTCTCCCCATCAGCCTCAACCTATTATTGATTGAAGATTCATTCTAACTACACCCTAACCCAAATTTTAAAAGCAAAATTTTCATTGCCCAAATTATATAAAAGAAGGAGCATCATAACTTTCTACAAATTCCTTCAAAAGATGAAATCATCTTACCAATGCCAGCCTTCTGCATTTTCTAGAACTAGCCAGGCTGCTAAAAGAAGCATGAAAGGAAAAATATACTAATGTTGGAAATTGGGAAGGAGCCCATGCCTTCGCTGAACCTTGAAACTCAGAAAACGTATCTTCATTTTTTAGCAAGGGAAAAATGCTCCTGAAATAACATTCATTGTAATTCCTAAGTGGACCAAATACTGATACAACTGGAAAGCTGTTATTACCATCTATTTGGCTGAAAAGATAATTCCCTTGATATTCAGAAGTCTTAAATAATTCAATATTGCATCACTAATCCCTCATAGCCACTCAATGGATAATCTACTGAACAACATAACAAGAGTGAGTGCAAAAGACTGAATAAGTTCATCTAAAATAGATGGAGGGGCTGGAGATTTAGCTCAGTGGTTCTGGTGCCTGCCTCGCAAGCACAAGGTCCCGAGTTCGATGCCCAGGACCAAAAAAAAAAAGATATAAAATAGATGGAGGGTATTGAAGACTCAAATCCAATAACTAGAAATTGCCCCTCATTTTGGAAAGAATAATAATATCAACAGAAACAAACCGGACTTGATAAAGTTCTAGGACAGAATATGAGTTTTTCACCAATGTTTTTTTCCCATAAGACAAACACAAGTTTTACAAAGTCAGCTACGTACCTGCAAACTGTAGTTCTAAGATCTCTAACCCAGTGTAATTTTCCTCTCCCCACAGTACATTATGTGGCCCTCCACATGATGGGAGCCACAGACTGCTTGGTAACCTGTTACACACCATTAATTAGCTACGATTGCATGGGCAGTTACCATACATCAAGACACACTCAAAACAAGTGTTTATTTCAGGTCATAAGCAGCAGCCTGACACATTATCATCTCCCCCCTGGACATTACTTACGTTTCCCTAATGAGTCCAGCCAAAAAGCTAATAATACTCCATGGATTTCTGCACTAGTATAATGTCCAATGATTTTTTTTTCCAATGATTTTTTTTGAGGCAATATTTAAATTAGTTGAAAGATCTCCATAACATCATGATAACCAGGGGAAAAAATGATAGTGAATTACAAAAGAAAAATAATATTTTAATAAATTTTCCTTTTTATGAGTAAAGTCATTGATTCAGGTTCTAAACAATGTAACCTGGGAAAAATTTAGTACTCTCCATAGTAAAGATGCAGGAATACTTTTTTGTTCAAATGGTTCTAATCTCTACTCCCTCACTTGCTATTTCTGTGACCTTGAACAATTCACTTAAGATTTAGAGAGCTTGTTTTCTTCTCTGCTCAGTGGAGAACATATATATGTAAACTACTTCACAAAAATTGTAACTATTTAAAAATGCAATAGAATCAAAGCACTTCGATATGTGTTAAATAGATATCAGCTATTAAGTTAAAAATTCCCACATTGACATTTCTCTCTGAGAAAGCCAAGAATTAAAGGGTTGCTTTGTTTTTTCCTCTCTGTGGTCTACAGCCAAAGCCTTTGTGCCAATGGGTCCATAGGAAAGTGCTCCAAAACACCTCAAATAATGGAAAGCCAGTTTGCATTGAATGGAGCTTAGGTCAAATTTGCTTCCGAGTTTCATGGATTAGCGCTAATTGTCCCATGGTGTGAGCCTAATTTTGCCCATCAATAAATTACTGGCTCATAGTTTTGGTGTTGTCCCCAAAGGCAATCTAACCTACATTATTCCAGATGGGTTATTTCAAATGCTATTTGCAAAAAAAAAAAAAGAGAGAGAGAGAATGAAATACTTAATCCTTAGAAAGAGAATATACAACCAGATTATAAAATGCTTCATTCAGCACTGGATTTGGTGATGTCTAGTGGCGCAATATGGGACTTTCTAAGTAGGTAAGCTGGGGACAAGCTGCTAGTTCCTCCAGACAGTTTCGTTCATTCCCATCTCCTTTCCTTCCCCATGCCAAACTCTCATCTGCCCTTCAATCGCTATTGCTACCCAGCTTTGCCTGCTGTGTGTACAGCACATTGCCAGGGACCGTGGACACAGCAAAAGCACACACAAGAGCATCCTGACACCTCAGGAACAAGCTCCCACAGAGAGCTTCATTGTGGAGCTCAGAATATGCCACACCTCCTAACTTCTGGACTATACAGACCTGTTAGAAGACTTTAAATCACCACTGGCTTCCCTGAGAATCCCAAATTATGGATGCAAATGGGCCCTAGGAGAGCATGCATCCTAGTAGTTTTTAATCTGCACATGGAAGATGGTATCTGAGAATAATGAAAGTCAGGGACACTTTCTCTAGTTAACCCTTATGTACACATACACACACACCGTGTGTATAGATCTCGAGTATCCCAGATCTCCTAAAGTCCATCCTAGATTATCCTGGTGATCCATTCACCCAGACTGAGATAATTTGATGTAACTAACCCCATAGTTTTAAAATTTAAAAAAAATAAAAAACTGAAGCCCAAGGAATGAAGTGACTCACTTAAAATTCACTTCTAGCAAGCTAGAACCAAAACCCATGTATTCCAACTCCTGGTTAAATTCTATCTCCACAAGCAGCTTCCTTTCCTATCTTCCACCATCTCATTGGTAAGATACTTGCCTGCTTCATAGGATTCTTCGATGAAATGATAATTAAAACTTTTGGGGCTGGGGATTTAGTTCAGTGGTTCTGGCACCTGCCTCGCAAGGGCAAGGCCCTGAGTTCAATCCCTGGAAAAAAAAAAAAAAAAAAAAAAAAAACAAACCTTTTGTACATCATACATATTTGAAAGTAATTCTTTCCTAAAAAACTGTAATGTTTGTCACTGCTTGCGTTAAAAAGCTAGCTCAGTGAATTCAGTAAAAAGTCTTTTTTGTTGTTGTTTCTTCTCATGGGCTAATGGTCTTTGGTGCACAACAGCTCTTACATTTTATACTCAGATTTAGCCAGGAGAAATACAAAACAGCTACTGTCAAGTGAATTTTTATGAAACACTGAGAAAGGCCTAAGTTATATAGCTTTTGTCTCATCTCTATCCAGAAGAGGTCTAGAAATGATTTTTCCACAGGAGGAAAAATAATGGAATGTAGATATGGCTTGGAGTTTTGGGGGCTTAGGGTTGGGTTTTCTCAGGTGCCCCAAATTAAACTAGCTCATATTTTCTGGCTATCACTCAAAGTGCACTGACTTAGCTACTGCTTTCCCAGATCCTTCCAAAAACGAAAGGATTTTCTTCTGGCATTTTAATCAGTGATTAACTACTCCCTTCTTTTTCCTGCTGGGTTAAGTAAAAGATCCATATGCTGGGTGTTCTAGGGAATTTGTTAGGCTGTAGATCATAGCCTGGTGCAAGACATGATGTGTCTCAAGGGAACTAACGAGGCCATAAGGAATGTAAAGAGTCACCGGGTTAAAGCCACATTAAGACAGCTGTTACATTAATGAGGGCCCTGCTTTGGAGAGGAGGTCACTGTATAGAAAAATATGAACTGCTCTTTATTGATTTGATCCCATGTCCTCTGAAAGTTAATGGGCCATTATTATTATCCTTTGATATTCACTGGGCCAGATGAGAAAGCTGGACACTGCATGGCCACGTGGGTTTGAAATTCATCCAGGCCCCCATCCTCGGTTTTGACAAAAGCAGGAATGAGGGAGAGCAACACTGAATGCTCTTCTGCCTTGATCATCTTCTCTGTCTCATCTCTTTAAAATCCAAGGTCTTTTTTATTCACACGGAGTTTAGAACTAATAATCTGTCTTAAGAACCCAGTAGGTGGGTCGGCCCTGCCATGTAGTGTAAGAGCTAACTGTTGAGATATAGTGGGCACTTACCTCACATTTAAACCAGGTAATCCTAGAACTACAATAAAAAAAACCATAAAAAAAAATATATATATATATAGCAGTGTTACATTAGTGGATATATTATCACTTTTATTATATTAAGACATAGAACTATTGGGGCTGGGGATTTAGCTCAGTGGTTTCGTCGCCTGCTGCGCAAGTGCAAGGACCGGAGTTCGATCCCCAGTACCAAAAAAAAAAAAAGATATAGAACTATTGAATTTCTCTGCCAAATTCATTGGGATACAGAGTAAACTCAGTATGATCCATGGTTAATGGAGGTCACTACCATACTGTTCAATGGGATGGAACACTGTATCCCAGTGAAACGGGTAGAGGAACTCAATAGTTCTAAATGTAAGTTACCAGCCCCACAAAACTTGGTGTGTCTGTGACTCTTTCATTTGCCTTTCCACACACCTCCAGCTTACACAGCCAGCTGGATACATTCCACTTCTGAATCCCTTTCACTGTGGCCCCTTCCTTGCCAATCCCACTGCCATTTTGTCCCATGCCCTGCATTGCCATCACATCAAACACGAGCTCACCAGCCTGCAACCCAAGCCCTCCATAGGATGTCCTCCACTTGGCTACCCAACCGCATTCCTTCTACCACCCTACCATTCCTCAAGCTATGCAAACTGGACTGAAGAGAGAATGTAAAATCATCTCCTGTGTAGCCCAGGTACTTCCAACAACTCCATGTACATATAGTTAATTCCCTATTACTAATATGCTTTCCTTACTCTATGCCCAATCGATACAGTATCAAGCCTAAACTTCTATTTATTCCAAGATCTCTTCTTTTCCTTTTCTCCACTCACACTGCAGTTTTTCCCTCTCTGTTGGTACTGACAACAAATGCTTTGTTTTAAAGTACCTGCGCAGTCACTTCATTACCCACGTGAGACTGCAGCTCCCGAAGAGAACTGTGTTAGCTCCTCTCTGCATTCCCTGACCTTCCTGGCACTGTGATGACCATTTGGACAGCTGAACAGAATAATCCCTCTACCTAGATTCTGCAGCCTGGAAGAGGTTATTTCTGCAAAATGCTGTGATTGGAGAGATAATGGACAGCATATGTGCTGATCAATCTCGGTACCATGTGAACTGAGTAGCTCACTGCCAAGATGCCAGCCTAACTTTGACTGTGAAATTCAAGTATCTAAGAGTAATGCAGCACCACATTTCCTGATAAGGTAACTTAACTGCTGGGGCGATGAGGGGCTCCTGGACGCCCGGACACCTTAACTCTTTTGTAATCTATACAATTAATGAGAGAGAAAAAGTTCATCACTGAAAATGAAAATATTATTCTGCATCGACAGAAACATATTACATCTATGTAGACCTTTCCAGAGGGCTCAGAGCACTTGTAAGAGTTCAAAAGATAATGCAACATGATCGTAAAATAACATAATTACTTGAAATGCTTCCAGGCTATATATTCCTTAAAGGAAAGGACTTTGCCTTATGCACCTTGGCACATTTTCCTAATGGAAAGGCCAAAGAGATGAAGTGTGTGGGGTCCAATTATCTCTATATTAGGTATGCAGCTGTGTAACCTCAGGTAATTACTTAACCAGTCTTGAGTTTCCGTTTCTTCATTTATAAACTGGGGATAGTAAAGCATCAACTTAGGGTTACGGTGACTAAACGAGTTAATTTGTGTAAAGGATTTAAAGGGGTCCCTATCACAAAATAACCACTCAAAATGTGTTTGTTATTAGCCAGGTACCACCCCAAAGTCTGTGTAGTGCCAGGTGAACAATAAGGATTCCTGAAATGATACGCCAGCGTGGATAACGTGAACTCCCGCACATCCTAAATAATAGAATCAGATTCTCTTAAATCTAAAACTATGCACCCACCTCGACAGCCATTCCTAATATATTTATTTTCTTGGATTAACATTTATTTTCTTGGATTAACACTCTCCCGGGAGGAGAGTGTACTTCTGTTTCCTCTCTGGATTTAAGTGAGCTGTGGATGGCTGGATGTCAGTACCTGTACTCGGGCCTCAGTGAGTTTTGCCCTCTGGGCCAGCTCCTCCCTGGTATAAATGTCAGGGTAATGGGTTCTCTCGAAAGCACGCTCCAGTTCTTCAAGCTGCTCTGCTGTGAAGGTGGTCCGGCTCCGGCGCTGCTTCCTCTTTAGCGGTAAATCTGGTTCAGAGTCAATGTCAGAGCCTTCGTCGGACTGGGGTGCTGAGCCTAAAGACACAAGAGGAAGAAAGACATGATAAAATACGACAGGAAGAGCAAGTCTGACCAAGCCTCAGTGATTGAAATCTTCAAGTTCTGTCACAATGTCCTTCCATGGACACCAGTCCTTTCCATGCTGCACTACATTATTCAATTGTAGCTAGTATCTATCCTATCCCCCTGCTCCCCAGGCAAAAATAATTTTCTGGGCATCGGTCATTCTTTGCTCTTAGGAAACGAAGCCAGGCTTATTTTTACAGCCTTGCACTTAGCACTTAGTAGGCATTTCACTGGTGTCTAATGAAGAAACTACATTTAATTTGGTTTCTGATAAATTCCCACCAGACTTTTTGCTGGGAATTCTGTTAGTAAATGTGATTTCTTTAAAAATATTCCAAAATTAGAGCCAGGGATTTAGCTCAGTGGTGCCGCTGCTTGCCTCACAAGCACAAGGTCCGGAGAGTTCAATCCCCAGCACACACAAAAAAATTCCAAAATCAACTTAATATCTAAAAACCAGTAAAAGCAAACTCTTGCAGGACTTCTATGTATTTATAGACTCTACTGCTTTTATTTAAAAATCTTGTTTAAAAGTAGTATCTCAGAAGCAGATGTGGGGAAATGCTTTATTAATGTAAATCTGAATAACCGATCTAAAAAGAAGGTGATACTGTCTACTGAACTGTCCCTACCTGGAGTTCAGAGTCTCAATCCCTGCAGATTAAGCAGGTAGTATCTGAGGTGCCCAGTGCAAAAAGAAAATGTGAGGTCCCTTGTTCAAAAATCATTACAAATGTCAAAACAGCAACAGCAGAGCACAGGGCCCTCCTCAGCATGGGGTCCTGAGTGACAGCACAGCCCCCATGCCCCTGAAGCCCACCTTACTTCAGCCCATCCCCACAAAGCTTGCATTTGCCTGTGTGCATATAAGGAAAGGGATTTCAGATTTTAATGTGCAGATGTCTGGAAAAAATAAACAGGAGCTAGAGGATCAGATAAAATTTACCATACTGTACATTATTATGTCTTCTCCTATAAGAACATGCTCTGAATCCTATAGGAAGAAGAAGCTGTGGTAAAAGATAGCAAAGTGTGAGGGCTAAGTAGTGCCATTTCCAGGCCAGGCTTTGATGGGAGAGAAAAGAGCAGCATTTTCCCATTTCTGCTAGGGATACATTCGGGATCGCATAGTAAAATGGGCTGTGACTTTAATAGAGAACCTGTGGCCTACAGAACATTGTATGGTTTGAGGACACATCAATGCAGGGCCCAGAGCAGGAGAGCAGAACCCTCTGGGCACTGGGGCAGGAGGCAGAGACCTGTTCCAGGGCTGCTGGGGACAGGATCTCAAACTAGAAGAAGAGCCACAGCAGCCTTGCTCCCAAGGACATCCAAGTGTCTTGTGAAAACTCTCCAAAGAACTGGGGGATTCTCCAAAGAGACTGAGGTGTGCTGTTTCCAAACAGGAACAATGAGCCAGAAAATTATACAGTATTTATTTCAATGTCAAGGTAAATCATTTGCACCCTCAGGCTGGTCAGATCTGGGCAGGTACAAGTGGCACTAGAAGCAGTGTAAGAATGTAGAATGCTCTATAATGTCCTATACATGTAATTCCTTAAGCTCCAAATTAAATGTGCCATGCAGAAATCTAAACTTTCATTCTATTTCAGTATAAATTATAAGTAGCCCAAAAAGGTATATATCCAAAATGAAACCCTAAATATGATCCTAAGTTGTATATTTTAATGTGTTCTATACTGTGTGAAATGAAGAGGCAATAGAGTGAGTCGGTAATGCAGTATATATGAAAAATTAAAGTGAATGTAACTGGCCGGGGATTTAGCTCAGTGGTTTCACTGCCTGCTGCGCAAGCGCAAGGACCCGAGTTCGATCTCTGGTACCAAAAAAATAAATAAAAATAAAAAAATAAAGTGAATGTAACTGAAAACAAATATATTTGATGAATGAGAAATAAACTAAATGAGCAATAATCTGCATGTAATTGTGGAGCTGTGGTTTTCAAGCTTGAGGAGCATGAGAATCACCGAGGTTTTGGTAAAACATAGACGGCTGACTCCCCTTCCTTAGCTGTGGACCCTAAAGATCTAGGCTGGGCCCCTTGAATTTGCATTTCTAACGCACTTGCTGATGATTGATGCCAATTCTACCCATTCTAGACACACTTGCAGAACCATCTCCAATATTCCAAATGAATTCTTTTCTTTCTCAGATTTTCCTAGAATATAAAATACTTCCTACCCCAATTTATCAAAAAAGTCCCTTCTACCCATGTATTTTTAAGTTGCAAGTAATAATCTCCCTAAGGAGCAAATTACGCAGTCCCCTAAGAAGATAACACATTTCCACCAAATGTTTTCCTTCCAGGCTTCCAGTTTCTATTGCTCTGCCTTTCGTTTCCAAAGTGAGCTCAGGTGAAAAAATCAACAGTTTGGGGCTTGCTCAAAAATGTCCTCTGCTTACGGGAACCCTAAATCTTTGCTTGCACATTCTTTGACTATGACCCCATTAGGATAAGAGTATGTGGAAATTTTCATGTTTCCTTTGGGAGTCTCTGGGGTTATTAAATTCTCCCAAGTAAATATGATGTGCCATGCGCTGTCGGGTCAATTAATCAAAATCATCTCTGGTATCGGAAGAAAAAGACTGGTTAGATTTACAAGCATCAGCAAGAATTAATCCTGAGGGTCAAGACCATTGTGTTTCACCTTAACAGTCCACATCCCCAGAAGACAAGCTCTTGTGAGCACAAGGCCCTGCTATGCCTTATTCACTGCTAGGACCTTGGAACACAGTAGGGGTTCACTAAGTGCAGGCTGAATGGACAGAAGAGTAGGATAAAATTTCAGTTTCACTCTAACACTGATTTCTCTGACATTATTTTACATCTATGGACTGGGAATTCTGCTTCTACAGGTCTTCCAGCATTTATTTAGATGAGTTTAGGGAGGCTGTGATGCTCCAAAAGTATTGGAAAAGTTTTGTAAAAAATTATGTACCTGCATTTTCAGTGGCAATAACTGGCAGTATTTTTTCAAAGGGATTAGGAGATGTGTATTTTTTAAGATGAGGAACCGCCACAAACTAGCAATTATAAAGACACAACATTTTTAAGAGTTCAGTAGGACAGCCTTCACCACCACAAATAAAATTTGCTAACAAGTTAACAAATCACTAGTTTTAGTTCTAGACCATTTTTTCAAAAGCAACGGAAAACTTGTATCTAACTAGGAAAACCTCCATGCAGCATCATTTCAAAAGACACTGAGGAAGTAACTTGCCCGATTTTGGGCCTGGAATATTATTTGAACCAACAGATCATTTTTGGCAATATGAAGCCACAATCTTACAAGTAAATTCTAACTTTTCCCCATGTGTAAACCCCAAAAGGATGTGGGCTTCAAAATATGTAAAGTCAGCAACCCAGAGATAATTTACTCACAAGGAAAAAACTAGCCCTTTCTAAAGATGAAAATGCTACTCTTCCTTATATCACAATAAAATTTGTTGTTTGCATAGAATTCAATTCACAATTACCTGAATTTGAATAATTCAGTTTTCACCAAGAACAAATCTAAAACTTAATTTCATTTTAATAACACACAGAGATCATGTTGCTATTATGTATTTTACATACTCTGTTTTACTCAAGCTACAAGAACAAATTAGATACTTGATCCTAAACAGTACATGAAAGTGAAAACAAGCCTTTCTTCCAGGCAGCTTAACAGAAAGAAATTATATATATATTTCTGTACAGAATATCTAATGCTGGGCTGGGGACTTAGCTCAGTGGCACCATGCCTGTCTTGCAAGTGCAAGGTCCTGAGTTCAATCCCTGGTACCGGAAACAAACAAACAAAAAGAATATCTAATGCTGTAACTTGGAACCCCAAGCAGTGTTGCCAAGACAGACGTCTAAAAGAGTTAATAAGCTGCTAGAATGCAGGAACTAGATTCAGTGTAATGTCCTGGACCCTTACTATTGTACACCCTTAATATTACAGAGAGGTTTTCAATTACACTTAAGTTGCTCAGTTATATTCTTCAGATACCTTCACAAGCAAAAATGTGCTTTATTTTTCATTAAATACAGATATTGTTCCCAAATTTGGAAATTGCAGAATAGCTCTCATAAGAAAATATACATCAACTCATAATGCACAGCCTTGTAAATGGAAACTTTATTGCCTTAAATTGCAAAACAGCGCACACATTTTATTCCCATCTATATTACTACTTGATTTTGAAAGTTTGAACTCTTATAATCGAACCCCTTCACAATCCACTATCTGACAGATTCAGTACTCAGTGTCACAAATGGCCAGGGAACAAACCTGTCCAGGAGGAGGAGTTCTCTCCGTTCCCTGTGGAACTGCACCACAGCCCTCATAAGTACTTACCACTGCACAAAAGAGGAAACTGAGGCACAGAAAGGAAGGTAGGATTATCCCGGGCCTACATGACTTCAAAGGATATTCTCTCCCTCTCCTCTGGACTAGAGTATCCTAAAGAGTGTTGGTTCCTTTAACACACACACATATGAACACACACACACTGTCCTTCTGACGAGCAACAGTAGAAATAATCCCAAATAGAAACTCAAATGTCAGTCATTTCACTGATGGCCACTTTTGCTACCATTCCTCCCAATTTTTCAAAAACTGCCCAGAATCAAAAGTAATTTACAGAAGTGATACACTTGGACCAATACTGTATAGCAAATCAAAATATTTTCCAAAGGAACTTAATTCACTTGAACAAAAATTTATTAAACTTTATGAATGTATTGAAATTTGCTCTGGTTTTAAAACACTGATAAAACAAAAAAATAAATCAATTTTGACCAAGTATGGCATAGATTTCAGAAATCAAAAGAGCCTGGCCATTAGCAACATCCACTGCAAATCATCATAAACCATTCGCTTGTCTTAACATCCAGGGTCAATCTGGAACCTAACATTTACAGCACTCAATTCAACTGATAA